TGTGAAATATTTATTTCTAATTATAAATAAATGAAATTTTGTCTTAAAGCCGGGTACTGGTATGTGGGTGTATCTGCATGTGGGCGGACCCGCCTGGAGACGGATAGAGGAGTGGTGTCTCGGTTCCTAAAACCACTGAAAATATATGTTTTCCGATGGTCTTAGGCGACCCCTGTGAAAGGGTCGTTTGACCCCCAAAGGGGTCGCGACGCACAGGTTGAGAACCTCTGCCTTAGATGGAGGTTATTGTGGTGCCTACCTTGCAACACCTAAGGAAACTGGGGTGCCCCAGAAACCTGACACTCAGTTAAATGTCTGTTTGATAACGTTCTGCTCCTCTCACGAGGACATGAACTCCATGAACACAGGGATGTTGTTTTGGTCACTGCTGTGCCCCAGGCACCGAGAAGAGTGTCTTCCAGTGAATAGATACTCAGCCGATATTTTCAAAAAGCGAGTCCCTGGCTTCCCCTGAGGGGAGGGGAACTTGATTCAAGTCCTCTACGTTAAAACTGCAGAAAGAGCCTTTCGGCCACTTCACTTCACGTTACACCACCCAGGGAAGAGGCACCAGGGGCCGTCCAAGTGGTGTCGAGACTGACAGTCAGGAGAGGGGACAGGGGGGGCAGGGGCAGCGTGGGGAGGGGCCGAGATGGAGAGTCAGAGCCAGGCTGAGCAGGCGAGGCAGGCAGGGAGGACTCCTGGGTTCTCAGGAAGCCCCAACACCCAGGACAGTGTCGCGTTCCGAGTCACTGGAGGAGGAGAGGGTCACAGATTCCTTTAGGATTTCGCTTCATTCCCTGGGTATGCCAGGAGAGAGGTTATTGGAGAACTCAGTAATACAACGTGATAATTCATATTCGATGGGTACAGGCACTGCTCTGAGCACTTCACACCAACTGGCTCATTTAGTCCCCACACCAACAAGGCGAGCCCGGGACTGGCAGAGCCTGGATTCGAACCCCCACGTCCTGCCTTCAGGGTGGCTCCTCTCCTTGATGAGATCTCAGGACTGTGGTGGCGGCCAGCCTAGGAGGATGGTAATTTAGATCAATGCTGTCTCAGTAACGAGTGGTTGAGGAAACAAGGATATTCCACATACAATGAAAATAGCACTTTCCTAAAGTTCTCACATAGTCTCAGGCCATGACTGCCCTTGTAGGGTTTCTTCCCTTTTTGGAATAAGATTTATAGAATCAATTACATGGGTGTGTGGGACCCTTGCCTGGGTCGGGAGTGTGCCTTTGTGAAGGCATGAGCACCCACAGTGGAACGGGGGCCATTCTAGGTAAAGGGGACGCCCAGGTGAATGAGGCAGCCCAGCCCGCAAGAGGCTTTCAGGGCAGCGGGCCCACCTGCGCCTCATACACTGATGCAGGGCCAGAGAAAGCAGCACACCCACAAAGAGGACACATTCCTAAGAGGCTCCTGTAAGAGCAAACAGAAAAAAACGTTACGTCAGAAACTAAGAGCTTTAGCAAAATCTGCCTGAAGGGCTTTCTTCAGACTTAAATATACACGAGACCACACACACACACTCACATTCACACACACACACACACACACACGCACACACACTCACACCCACACACACACTCACACACGCCCTCCCATCTACATGCACAAAAGTCACTTTGCCTCCTATTCATTTCAGCCTGAGAAAAGGACCATACCCAGGTAGATTCAGAAATCAGATTACCTAGTGACAAACACAATTTTTCTTTTTATAGAAAACATGAAGTTAAACTTGAAAGCTCGGGAACATACACTTCAGACCCAAACCTCTTAGAACCCTGATTTCTCCTACGAGGCACGACTGCTCGGAATCCGCTGCCAGCTGGCTAGGGCGTGTGTGTGAAAACCGTCATATTTCGAGATTTGTCCCTGCACCAGACATTTTTCTCAGCACTGCGGGCGGCTCACGCCACGCTGCCCGGGCACCTGCAGGATCAGTCAGTTTGCACAAGTAGCTTCCCAAGCGAATGACGTAGCTCCCCTTCTGTTGTTCCCAGAGACCAACATCTGTCAGAGATCAGCTTATGCATCCGCGTATTAAAGCGCTCACTGTTCAGAGGCCCTGCACTTAATTTTCCCTTGGGTAAACACAGCCAATAATGGATAAATACTGAAGGATCAGATATCCTCCAACTAGCGAAGGGAGCTGTGAGTGTAGACTTTAATCCACATCAGAAGTGAGGAAAAACAGAGAGCAAACACAATATGACAGAGGCTCTTCGCGTCAGGAGTGAGGATCCTGGGAAGGCGTTCGTGCCACTGGCCACGTCATGTCACGGGAAGCATCTGGAGAAATGGTGGTGGGGAAAAGGATTCTGGGAGTTCTACAGCTGAGTGTCTTTAAATGTTAAGTATGGTGCAAGCAAACGATCTTTCTCTCTTCGGAAAAGAGCACAGAGCCTTCTGGCTGCCATCGTCCAAGCTGGTGGACCCCACACTCTGCGTAACCATACACCAAAAGGTGTCTACACATGCCCTACTAATTGCATTTCAAGACAAGTCCCAACAGGAAGATGAACTTTGGACAGGCTGACAGTCCTGGCCTTTGAGCCCACGGCTGGCCTTCTAATGGCTGAGCCAGCCCCTCAGGGAAAACACACAGCTTGAGTTTATCTTTCAAGGATAAACTTCTGAGGATGAACTTTTCGGACTCTCAGGAATTCTTGTCTAATACAGGGGCGCGAGGTAGCTCATAATTTCTATATAACTCTTTCTTTGGAAAGAAATGCTCTAATCTTTTAGATAATTTTGCCTCAAAAGATTATTCCATCCCAACTTCATCACCAGGTGCAGCCACACTATTAATTTCTGATTTGCCTTAAAACAAAACAAAAAACACATTCAGCATTCCACGCTAGAGGTTTTCTTTTTGTTACTTCAAAAAATTAGAGATGCTTTCTTGTTATTTTTAAAAAAATGATGTAAATCGCTCTTTCGATCTCGCCATCATGGTCATGTACCTGTCTTACCTAAACCATCTGGGTCTACTTTTAAATTATCGATAGGCAGAAACTTCAAAATGAGGTGAAACATGTGGCCGGTGGGGATGGTGGCAAACTGCCTGCAGGGAAGCAAAAGAGGAAGCCTCAGGCAAGGTGCTCCTTAAAAACCAGGCTGACACTTTCCACAGAAGAGCCACAAGCTATCCGCTCTGGATTGCTCTTGGCCACCAACATTGCTGCCATATGTAGGCAGCCCCCATGACACTTTCCAGAGGGAGATGAGGTGTCTGCTCTTATTCAGCCTTCCTAGAAAAGCACCTGAAGAACTTTCAGAGTGGACACGGCAAAATGTCACCTGTGCTTGCGTAAGAGCAGCAGGGAAGCAGTCAACGGATTTAGTCCAATGCAGACGTGGGCTCCCAGCTATCTCCTCTGTAAGAGTGAGCTGTTAGAGCGTCAGAAGAGAGTGGGAAACACGGAAGGCCGCCGAAGAACTACATTTACTGTAGTTCTTAGGAAATAAACTATATTTATTTCCCAGTGGGTTAAAGAACGTTTAAGCCTCGAGAAATCAATGAGGGACTAACAACACATAGATCCTATAAATAATAAATGAGCTGGATATATAATCAACTGTGTTAAAACTGCATTAATAAAATTACCAATAATTGAGAAGGCAGAGACAGCCAAAAATAAATAAAATCGCCGCCACTCGTAAAAGCTCTTCGTTCTTATTGCCTTTGCTTTTTGCAAATGGATCCTTTCCATTTATGTAGTGAAGAAAAACAAACAGACATGCGTGCATGTTTAAGAGGCAAGAGTGTGATAAGGCTGTCATTTTAAAGTCCACTTGACAAAATTTCTCCTTCTTTAATTGCATGGCTCCAAGTATCTGCTGATTTCCTTCCTGGAAAATTTATTTCTGTCCTCCCATCCTCCTCAGAACCGGAGATCTTCAAATCTAGTTTTGCATATATTTTCTCATGTACTATTCACAATCAGCTTACAAGTTGAGTAATATTTCAGCATGAGCAAAGGAAAGGCTTAGCATGGCTAGGAAAAACACCTGGGGACAGTGTGTGAAGTTAGATTTCTAACACAGAGGTATCTGAACCCTAAGTCTAGTTTCTTAATACATCCTGCTTACCTTTCTAAAGAAATGGATTCCTGCCTTTTCAACACCAAGAACCTCTTTTTAATTTTTCATTTCTCTCCCATTGGACCCAAGTTTTCATATCCTTTTGACCGGCAAACAAATGATAAAAATTAAGTCACTACTGGTGCCCTGTTTGTATTGACAGAAAACATTTATTAAAATACCCATGAGTGTCTGGCCGATGTGAGATAATGCTGAGTTGATACGATTTCAGCCCAAGGGATTTCAAAAAGACATTCTTATCAGTCTCCTCGGGTTTAAATATTTAATCTATATTATTGGGCTTTTCCACATACTAAATAAAAAGAGTCATCCTGGGGGTCTCTGGAACTTTGGGGCCGGGGGTCTCTAACCCGCCCTCGGAAGACACCAGGGTCTGTGTTTTTAAGTAACAGACGCAGGAGCTGTGATTGTGCAGCTCGTGAGAAAGCATTACCTTGAGTCAGAAATCCTTTCATATACCAGTCTAAATCCCTCCTGCTCCAGCGTAAACCCATTTCCTCTCCTGGCCTCAGGAGAAATGCGAACAGCTG